TATCTTTTGTACTAATGTTATCAGTCTTTTATTTTCAACAATATTTTTATATTGCTCTATTAATTCAATTAGTTTTATTTTTTCAATATTTGAAAAATTAGGGGACTTTTTTTTATTAACTGTTGGAACTTGAGACATTTTATACACTTTATTTTGTACACAATATAAAATGCTACACAGTTGACATACACATAATATAACCTCACAAATCACTCTGTGCAATCTTGTTTCCGTGTTTCCGTCCACCATTAATAATCAACCAATCACACTATTTGTTTGAGAGGAAAGAACAAATTTTTGAAGTTTCTTCATATAGACTATAAGTTTAGGTAACCTCTAGTTAAAGTTAACGTATAGGAACTTGTGAATCGCGATACAAGTTTAACCATAACGTTAAATTTAACAGCCGTTTAGCTAAGCTCAGTTTAAACTTGATTTTGTGGAACTGGGCCTAAGATTGAAAATTAAAGATTAAAATTTGACCAATCAGGACAAAGAACTTTTAGCTCGTCTTGTTTCGATTGGTCAGATTTCAATCTTTAATCTTCAATTTTCAATCTTCAATACGTAGTCTCATTACGGGCTTTACTTTTCGTTGCCGTGCGACACTCGCTTAGCACACTTTTAGAGCCATGGACCTAGGAATATATGGACAGAGCGATAACTGGTCTTATTGGCGAGGGGGGTAAAGCCTTAGCGGCAGGAAAAAATCATGCAGCGGCATATTGGTCGGCTAGAAAAATGGCGGTGTTATTAATCTAATCTTGGCTTGGCGCTTGCATAATGAATAATATTCATATAATATAAATTCCGCACTCGTTTAGTTACGGGTTATCCGTAGCCACCATCTTGGTCGGCTAGTTTTCCTTTTGCTCCTTTGGCTACAACCCCGTTGGCTATCACACTGTCCATATATTTTTAGGTCCACATTTAGAGCGTACATTTTAGGCCGGGTCTACAATAGATGTAATAAGCTTTAAGAAATTGACCAGTTACAGTCGATTATTCTTCTGTGATTTGTCCATGAGTGGTTAATTTCTTACGGCTTAAAGCTACTACATCTGTTCTAGACCCAGCCTTACAGTCAAGCCACGTGAAACGCGCGCTTATTTGTCAATTTTTTAAAATTAATTTCTCCATAATTATTGCGAAAATTGCAAAATCGTAAACTTTCAGTTCGGTTTACTGTGCTCTATCCGCTCACGAGCGTTATCAGGAGACGCGGTAGTGTCTCCGGCCAAGTTCAAAAAACGACACTACTAAGTCAGGAAAAGAATCTCTGGCAAAGTTCAGAAAATGACACTACTAAGTCTCTTATCCTGCGCGCACAAAGTCGACTTTTCGGGGGTTTGTAGCAACTAAAATATAAAAATTTTATAAAAACACATAGTATATCCTTAAAGGCGGCATCGCCACGACTAATTTGAGCCAAAAAAAATTTAATTGGTCCAGCCGTTTCAGAGATACAAGCGTTCAAAAAAGTGATGTTGGTAATACAAAAATTAAGAAACGTCGTCTCCTTATTCTTCTCCTCTGTCCGCAGGGGCGAATGAAGAATTTACGGGGCCCCAG